GAAAACGTGAAGGCCCCGGTGAGGCCGGCCCCTCCTCTGTGTCGCCACGGACCTTCTGGTTCGGGCGGCCGGAGGAGGAAGGTTCGGCCATGGGGGGGGGACGGTGGAGTCCGCTAAATAGCGGATTCATAGTCTCCCCCCCCAGGGGATCGTCGGGGGAGGGCTAGTAGCCTACGGGCGAATGTCCTCTTCCCGGCGACCCCCTCGGGATGGGAGGGATAACGGCGGGGGACCTTCTGTCCCCTGCTGAACCTCGTGGTGGGCCCCGGGCTGACTGCCGAATCCGTTTCCCTAAGGGGGGCGGAGGGAGCACCAACCCGGGGGCAGGGGCCGGGGCCCGAGTCGGGAGAACTCGGACCCCGACCCTGTCCCCCTGACCACCAGGGAGGGACGCGGGTGGGCAGTGTGGCCCTGTCCACCCGCAACCGCGTACGCGCGAGAGAACGGGGGGCCAATTGAGCCCCCCCCGGGATGAGGATCGGGCGGCGGCGTCACCGAACACCTGTGACGTCGCCTCCTGATCGCCGCGGGGGAGGAATTTCGTGGGGACAGAGATGCCGAAGTATTGCAATAGCGAGTCCCGGGTCTCTGTCCCCTCCTCCTGCCGCCGGGATGGCCACCCCAGGGGTTTTAGTGGGTATACCTCCCCTTCTGGGAGGGAGTCCCACATAACCCGCGGTCCCTCCCCGGGGACTGCGGGTATCCATCAAGGATTTCCCCTGGGCAACAAAAAAAAAAAAAAAAAAAAAGGTTCTCCTCCGATGGTGCGCCACCTTGTCGTGGTGGAGGAGCTCCCCTCTTCCTTCGGGTTGAGGGGTCTAAGAGCGCACCATTGCACTTCCTCGTGGTGTTCGTCGCGGTGGTGGCGGGTGAAAGCGAAAACGAAAGCGGCCCTCGGGCCGTGAGTAGTGAGTATGAGAGTAGCCCAAAGCCGCCGCGCGGACATCACGAGAAGGGGGGTTGCGCTCCCTCCGGGCTTTATGGCCTGATGCGCATAGGGGAAGGAAAACCCTGACTCCAAACCCGGCACAATGGGGCTTTTACGGGTGGAAGAACACCCAACCCATTCTTTCTTCCAACCCATCCTAAACCTCCCATCCTTCTTCCTCGACCGATTGTCCCAGGGTCTCAACTTCTACTTTCTTCGGGGTGGTGCCCGCTTTCAAATAGCACGGTACCCGGCTTTGGGTGCAGATGGAGCCCAGCGACTCCATAGAGATGAGGTCTGCTGCCGCGGACCAGTCTCGTTCGCTGGAAGGGGTTGGCGGCCCTGACTTCAATCGCCCAGTGGTACGGCACTGTAGGGGGAGCCTAGCTCTCCGCCCGTAACTTGTGTGGGTGCTCCCGCAGGGGGGATGAGGTGGCGGATCGGCGGGTGCTCCCGCCGTGAAGCGTCCCTCAAAGGGGAAAAACGGGAACCGGCCGGGACCCTCGCCCGAAGGACTGGTAAGGTGACTTTGTCACCTGCCGGGCCAGAGGCGGGGATTATCTCGGTGGCGGTTCCTCTGTGTGTGAATGGTGTGTGCATGTGTGAGTGTGTGTGTGTGGGTGGAGTTCGGGTCTCTCCTCGGAGAGACGCGGAAATCCACCATCTTTTTGGCCACCGGGCAGTAGAGTCTTCGGGTCGCGGCTCGCTTTCAAGAGGGTTGGTGCCTCACCCTCCGGAAAAATCGGAGGCATACTTATGTCGAGTCTCGGGAACCGTCGAGTGGAGCGGTCCTTATGTCAGGTGAAGGGTACTGTGTTTACGGTACCTGGAGGCTGACATACCGCAAGCGAAGGGTCCGCCTTCCCCTCGCTTTAAATAAAAAATCCGGAGGCGGGGACACGGGAAGGAGCCGGCGTCGCACGTCGGCAACAGGGGGATTGCCCATCCTTGTATAAAAAATCGAAGGCAGCCGGGTGCAGTGTTGACTTCCGTCGCGAAGCACGATAGTGTTTCCCGATGGAAACAACACAGCACAACACCGTCTCCACGTGGAGGCGGAGCTTCTCCCGGGTAGGAAGCCCATCTTCCGCTCTTCAAGCGGGAGATGAGGTTGAGGGGTGGTGCATCACCCTCCGGAAAACCGGATGCACATTTAACTCGAGTCACGTGTGCCCGTATGGCGTGGTTATGTTGGGTGATGGGTTCCTGTGGAAGACCCACTTGAATCCACCGGTCAACATACCGCAAGCGGGGGTCCGCCTCCCCTCGCTTTAAATAAAAAACGCGGAAGCGGGGACACGGGTTAGGAGTCGGCGTTGCACGTCGGCGACAGGGGGCCTGCCCACCCCTGTATAAATAAACGTAGGCAGCCGGGTGCGGTGGTGTCTCGACCGAGACATTGGTATCTCGATTGGGACACTGCTGCACAAGCCGCCTCTACCGGGAGGCGGGTTTAGAAACTTCGGGTAGGAGGCCCACCTTCGCGGCGAAAGCGGGAGGTGAGGTGAGGGTTGTGCATCATCCTCCGGAAATCCGGATGCACATTTACTTCGAGTCACGGGGGCTAACAGGAGTCTGCATTCCTCCTGTCTAATAACGCGGATGCAGGGACACGGGAAGGGTCGATGAGGGTGAGGGGAGCATCGCAACCTCCGCTAAGGTTCCTGGCTCACTTGGGTCCTGAGGTTCCCATTCGGATAGGGTCGGTGGGACCAGGGAACTTCGGTTCCTGGGCTCAAGTGGGTCACAGGGTCTCCATTCGGATAGGGTCGGTGGAACCCGGGGGAACTGAGGCGGACAGATGCTCCCGAGCCTTTCATCCACAGAGTGGGGTGCGCCTTCCCCCATCTTTGAAAAACACGGAGGCGATCGGTGCTGGTTGTATCTACGATGAGATCAACTTAGCGTTTTTTGTTTTCGTTTTCGCGGTAGCTCTTTTTGTTGCGGGTAGGATGCCCACCTTCGCGGCGAAAGCGGGAGGTGAGGTGAGGGTTGTGCATCATCCTCCGGAAATTCGGATGCACATTTACTTCGAGTCACGGGGGCTAACAGGAGTCTGCATTCCTCCTGTCTAATAACGCGGATGCAGGGACACGGGAAGGGTCGATGAGGGTGAGGGGAGCATCGAAACCTCCGCTAAGGTTTCTGGCTCGCTTGGGTCCGGAGGTTCCCATTCGGATAGGGTCGGTGGGACCGGGGAACTTCGGTTCCTGGGCTCAAGCGGGTCATAGGGTTTCCATTCGGATAGGGTCGGTGGAACCCGAGGAAGCTGAAGCGGACAGATGCTCCCGAGCCTTTCATCCACAGAGTGGGGTGCGCCTTCCCCCATCTTTGAAAAACACGGAGGCGTCCGGTGCTGGTTGATCTGCGATGAGATCAATTCAGCGTTTTTTGTTTTCGTTAGTTTTAAGTTAGTTTAAGTTAGTGTTAAGTTAATTTTAAGTTAGTTGTAAGTTAGTTTTAAGCTAATACTCTTTTTCTCTTTTCAGGGTTTATTTTCAGGTTAGCTCGCGTCGGGTAGGAGATGCAGCGAGGGTTAGTGCATCACCCTCCGGAAAAATCGGATGCACGCTTATTTCGAGTCACGGATGCCGTCGAGTGGCGAGACATGTCAAGTGACGGGTCGCTGACCCCGAGGCTGACATATCTCAACAGGAGTCTGCATTCCTCCTGTATAAAAAGGCGGATGCAGGGACACGGGAAGGGTTGATGAGGGTGAGGGGACCATTGTAATGGTCTGCTGGTGTCCCTTTAGTGCTTTGCTGGGTCTGTAGGTCTCCATTCGGATAGGGTCGGTGGAACCGGGGAACTTCGGTTCTTGGGCTCAGCGGGTACTTGGGTGCTCATACGGATAGGGTCGGTGGGACCCGGGAACATCAGCAGACTTGGGTGGTCCCAAGCCTTTCATCCACAAGGTGGGGTATGCCTTCCTCCAGCCGGAAAACGCGGAGGCATATGCGGTGCCGAGGTGTATCTCCAATGTGATCACCTCGGTCAAATGGTTAGTGCCTGAACGGGCGGTGTGCCGGCCTAGCGATCGAGCGGGACCGTCGACCAAACGCCGGGGAGGGCATCGCCCCGAGTAGTAGTCGACGAGATACTTCTCTGCCGATTCTGCCTAGGTGAGTGGGCCCCTCCATTAAAATGAGGGGAGCTCGGTCGAGAGGAAGGCACATCTCTCAACACAGGAGTCTACCTAGTGGGGGCCTGCCTTACCCCACTCTAAAACACGCGAAGGCACACGCGAATCATCTGGGTCCCCCCGGGTGGCTGGACACCTGGGGGGACACCACCAGAGGTGGTCCCCCGGCAGAGGGGAATAAAACTAGTGGGCAGGGTGGCCGACGTGCGTGGTCTCCGAGGGGACCCGTAGCGATCCGGACCCTGTTTTCGGCCCTCTTTGAAGGGTGCACTCCTCCGATTGCAGGCCACCTTGACGTGGTGGAGGGGCTTAGCCGCCCCCCGGTCTCCGGGCCCATCGGGCCCCCCACTTCGACACCTAGGTGTCGGGGGGGCCCGGTGGGTCTCTCGGGCCCCCACCTCGACACTTTCGTGTCGGGGGGGCCCGGGGACCGGGGGACGGTGACCAAGAGCCTGCATTGCACTTCCCTCCCCGGAAGGGGAGGAAGGGGGGTTGCGCTCCCTCCGGGCACTCTGGCCTGATGCGCATAGGGGTAGGCGGCCCTGACTGCAATCGCCCGGGTTGAGGATCCCGTTAAGGGTGGAAAAACACCCCAATCCTCTCGTTTCCCCAATTCTTGCTCCTTTCCTTCGATATCCTTTCTCAGCTTCTCTCACCCATCCTACCCTTACCTCCTTTTTCCTTCCCATTGCCCCATGAATCCTTAATTCCTGGTGTGTGGATGTGTGTGTGGATGGATGAATGGCGCGTCTTGCGCATGTGTTCCAACCCTATTTTCCCATCCTTTTCCCTCCCCATTGTCCCCAAATCCCCTTCTTATCTTTCGTAAGGGTGGCTCCCTTCTTTCCAATAGCCATGTGTGAGTGTGCGTGTGAATGTGTGTGTGATGGTTTGGGGGTTTTCCTAAAAACCCCCACCCCAAAAACCACTATGAATATGCAGCAACAGGAGCCGATCACTACGACCCCAGTTGGATCGGATACAACAGGGGTGGGCGCCGCCCGGAGTATTGTCCCAGCTCCGGGGGTGTCCTCATCGGACGATGGGCCACCCGCGGTGATTACGGCAGGCACCGCGAAGGAACTGGTTACTGCCGTCTCAAAACCAGTGGTAAATAAAGAGGCTCTTGCGCCTAATGGAGATGTCGCCACGTGTAATGAGCCCGACTCGCACAGATCCATAAGTGCGGATACGGTCATCGTTGGAGAGTCTAGTCCTCCTCGTTTAGATGCGCCGCTTAAGGATGCCCCTCCTCTGGAGTCCCAGAGTTGGGTCACCCTTATTGAAGAGGAAGAACGGGCTGCACCTGCTGCTGGCCCTAGTAATCCAGCTACCATGGATATTGACGAGGAACGCATTGCGTTCAAAAGGAAGAAATGTCGAGTTGTAGATACTGACTCGTTAGACGATAGTGCCTCTGATTTAGGCGAAAATAAGACTCGCTCTAGTATTCCTCGTAAGAAGGCTATTCTTAGCCTTACACAACCTAATCTGGACGAGGGTAAAGAAGACCCAGGCTGCACTACGAATGAAAACGAGCCGTCAGGCACGGATGTTGAAGGAAAACGTAAGGTCGGCCGACCTCGCAGAAAGGTCCGTGCGATAGATCCACTTATCGCGGAGCAGCAGATTATCCAGCGTACTGGCAAGGCTCCAGATGCTATTGAGGCTGAACTGTTACAAAATATGACAGTATCTGACATCAGTGCGCTTGCACTTGAATACATAGAGGCCATTGAAATCATCCGTACCAAGAGCGGACGATTACAAGGCGGACTCAGTGGAGAACTACGCAGAAGAACGCAAGGACTTAGTGGCTTTGTACGAGCACTCCAGGAGAGAGCCGAGCACGTGGGAGATCCACATGCGCTACAAATCAAAATTGACGAACTCCTCCAAGAAATGAAGGAGAATAAAAAAGAGGAGGAAAGACGTAAACGTGAGATTAGCGAACTCCAAGATACCATCAAAGAGTTGCGCCAGGAAAATAAGAGTATTCGCTTAGAAATGAGACGCACCTTTAAGGAAATTAGAAGTAGTATTGGTAAAGAGACATACGCTAACAATGAGGATGGCAATGTACAAAATATGAATGAAAATGAGAGGAAGAAGAATGTATATACAAAAGAAATGGAGCGTCAAAATGTACAAATATATACAGAAAAAGATAATGATAATGAAAATAAATATGTACATAAGAAAAACAGAGAAAGGTCGAACTCTCGGACAAGCCCCCATCCTGCTGCACAGCCAATCAACATCAAATCTCAGGAAGATTGGCCAACTTTACCATCACGTGACACAACTGCTCCTCCTTTAGAAGAGCTTCCTAATGACTGGGTTTATAGACCTCCACTGCTGGGAAAATCGATAGCTATCCCGATACGCAATGATTCTGTGCATAAGGAGATACCTAGCATGGTATTTTCTAACAAGGATAATGTTCAGGCTAAACGCACGGATATCCGAGTCATTAGTAATGTTCAAATAAGACCGCCTAAAGCGGAAAATCAGCAAAGGGGGACATCCGCTCGTCCACGACCGACCCAACCTCCACGGGATCTACCGTGGACGACTGTGGGCAAGGATGGAAAAGCCCTAAAACAAAAGAAAGAGAAAGTCGCGACACGTACTGAGAAAAAAAGACTACCTAAAACCGCTGCGGTAAGCCTGAAAGGTAAAAGCTCGGACTTCTCCTATGCCGAAGCACTCAAACGAATTCGATCCCAGATTTCGCTCCAGGAATTGGACATTCAAATGCCCAAAGTAAGAAGGGGCATTAGTGGCAACGCTATAATAGAAATACATGGACCCGATAATGCCCTTAAAGCAGACCGTTTGGCATCGGAAATACAACGAGTCCTACAAGAAGAAGCTTATGTTTCGCGTCCCACTATTACTGGTGAAATCAAACTAATTGGAATGGATGAATCCATTTCCAAGGAGGAAATCATTGAGGCAGTATCAACTACGGGCAATTGTAAGCCTAGTGAAGTCCGATCCGGAAAGATTGGTCGTACGAGAAATGGTGCTGGCATTGTATGGGTTCAGTGCCCCAAGACTGCTGCAATTCTACTTACCGAAAAGAAAAGAATACCAATCGGATGGTCCACTGTTAGAGTGGAGTCTTTAAAGAAGCGCCCTCTTCAATGCCATCGATGCTGGCAAATAGGACATGTGCGTGTTAACTGCAAGTCGAGCAAAGACCATAGTGGTTCCTGCTTCCGCTGTGGTAAGACAGGACACTCCGTGTCTACCTGTAAGAACCAGGTTCGATGTATATTGTGCTCCGACTTAGGAAAGGATTATAATCACCGCATGGGTTCTATTAGATGTACTGGTATAACTGTCCCATCATCTGACAGGAAGCCTGCCTTCTATAAGGCAGAAGCAGCATCTGAGGACACTTCACACGATCAGATTACATCACGGATTGACTCACCGGATAGAATCAACTCGCCCGATAGGAGGACGGACGAGGTCGAGATGGAAGAATTGTAGTGGGTTGTTGTATTAACTATTAACTATTTACATATGTACAGCAACTTATTACTATCTACCTATTTACAGTATAATTATGACTAAGATATTACAAATAAATTTAAATCACTGTCGAGCTGCTCAGGATCTCCTCATGCAATCGGAGATTGATCATAAGATCGGAATATCCATTATTTCGGAACCCTATTATATACCTTCTGACGTTACGTGGGTGGCTAATGGAACCGGCACGGCTGCCATCCACTACAACATGCAACACACTTCATGTATTGGAATAGTCAAAAAGATAGGCAGTTTCTCCGTAGCTGTGCTTTGGCGAGATATATTGATCGTCTCTTGCTATATCTCTCCTAATTGCGATAATAATACGTTTGAGGAGTTTCTTGATGAGCTCGGTGAGTGTGTGGAAATGACAGACTCGGACATACTTATCGGAGGAGACTTTAATTCATACTCGATGTTGTGGGGATGCCCTTTGACTGACTCCAGAGGCGACCGACTGGCTCGATGGAGTGCTTCTTACGAACTAAGTATTGTGAATAGAGGCTCGCAACCTACATGTGTGAGGCATCAAGGAACATCTATTGTTGACCTCACATGGGTGAGTTCCTCACTTGATCCGAGGATCCGTGGATGGTCTATACTCGATGAAGAAACCCTTTCGGACCATAGATATATCTCTTATGTGATACTTATGGATGGTGGAACGAGTGATATTCGCAAAAAGCAAAGATACGTTAAGTGGGCATACAAGAAATTTGACAAAGATAAATTCCAGGAAGCTCTGGAATGGAGATGTACTGGATTGACTCCCACGGCGGAAGACACTTTGTCTGCAAAATGGGCTCAAGAAATAATAACTGATGCTTGTGATTTTGCAATGCCGAGAGCTAAGCCAATGCGCAAAAAACTGTGCGTATTGGTGGAACTCTAACATTGCAGA